AAAGAGCATGAAAAAACTGTACCTGATGTATAGTTCCTCTTGGAAAGTAAAGCATATCACCAGCTTCTAGTACAGTATCAAGAATTGGTTCCCCTATTTCATCTTGGTTGAAATTGCCTTGGAGTCAAACATATTGAAATGATGGACGAAACATTTTAGAAAACACATAAAAAGGTAAGCAAAAATCAATCTTACCACTTGAGAACCTTGGCAATGATTCCTCCTCACTCCTAACAAAAACAACAACAACAAAAATGTTGGTAGTTTGTTGGTAGGCTATCAGTAGGTTGTCAGTAGGTTGTTGGTAGGCTGTCAGTAGGTTGTTGGTAGTCTGTCAGTAGGTTGTTGGCATGGTAGGCTGTCAGTAGCTTGCTTGTTAGTAGGGTGTCAGTAGGTTGTTGGCATGGTAGGCTGTCAGTAGGTTGTTGGTAGACTGTCAGTAGGTTGTTGGTAGGCTGTCAGTAGGCTGTTAGTAGGCTGTCAGTAGGTTGTTGGTAGGCTGTCAGTAGATTGTTGGTAGGCTGTCAGTATTGATTAGCCAGAATGTATCTAGAAGCCTTTTACTATTTCAAGTACCTGGGATTATATAGTCTCCAGTGTTTTTTCCCTTCAAGTTGGACAATGAAGGCTTCAATATCATCATAGTGAGGAGCAAAACCCTGGGTTCCAGGAGGAGTTAGGTAACTATTGCAAAAATAAGTAAATATGTTAGTTGATGATTATTGCATTCTTCACTGCAATATTACAAGAAAGCATCTTACACATTTGCCCCAACAAAGCAACCAAAGTATTCTTGTAGTAGKGAGGTCAGCTTCCACACAGATTGACTGAATGACTGTGGGTTTAACATTCTAACTGAGCAGTCATTCTAGGATGAAGAATATTGGTGATCAAGAACTAGTTTTAAAATTAAATACATTTTTTATAGTCATTGCAATTCCACAGGGATCAGATATCATAAGAATTGATAATATGTTCAGAATTGTTGTTAGTTACTTGATAAAAATCCCAGACAACAGGTGCATGTGCTCTTCCTATAGGATTGTGAGTTTCTCTCTTTCCATCTTTATACGAAGTAACATCCAGGTTGACAGAATATCTGACATTATGCTGAAGGATATAATATACATTATACAACTTTTCAGTAAAATCAGACGTTTTGATTGGTTGGCTTTCGTGTGTTATCAAAGTATAGATACACGGATTACGTCAAAACTAATTGTTTGTTGTATAAAACAGATAGATCTCATTTTTCCATGCGTGTGTACTCTAATAGATACACAGATGATGTCAAATTGTAGTGAGAACAACAGTCACGCACTCGACTGCGTCTTGTGCGTACTTTTTTGTTCTCACTACATTTTGACGTCATCTGTGTAATATCTATTAGAGTACACACGCACGGAAAAATGAGATCTATTTGTTAAATAATAGATGAAATTGTTATGTGATTTTCAGGTCACCATAATCAAATAACATCTATTTTTTGTACCTTTCTCATGATATCATCCAAATCAGCAGTACTAAACCAACCCTCGTTGTAGGACAGTTGATGCCTTTTGATTAGAAGTGGTTTTCTTCCCCATAACTCACTACAATGTGACAACAATAGAGATGTATTAGACATGATGGTATATGTATTCTATTTGGTCTTCACACTGGGTATCCCTGTTAGCTTTCAAAAACAATGCAAATCCTCCCCTTTCGTTTTTATAATTACACTTAATGTAGCTTTTTACCTGAAAAACTTTTTAGGTTTTACAGGACTCAACAGCCATTTTAAAAGAGTCTCTGCCTCTGTTTCTCCCTGAATGGTGCTGTTGTCAGCTAAGCTCGTGTTACTACCCATGTTGTACATACTGACAGGCCTCTGACTGCTGCCCGTGGTGTTTATACTGGTATTAGATCTAGCACGTGTTGCACTTGATGAATTAATGCTGGTATTAGATCGAGTATGTGTGGCAGTAGTTGAATTCAAGCTCGTATTTGACCGGACATGTGAACTTGTAGTAATACTTGCAGTACTTCGATTGCTTCGCGATCTTTTCTGTACTGGTGGTGCAAYCAGATCAGGCTCACTRTCATCATTATTCATAATTGTAACTTTTTCCAACTCGCTGSCYCCGGCCATGCTTCTTCCACGCTTCTTCTTTTTGCCTGACATCTGAAGACTGCGACGAAGCTTATTGGCTTTGGATAAGAGAGATTTCCGTGATTTTGTACTCAGTTCTTCTGTGGATTCATTTGCCGCGTTTTGGGCTAACGTTCCACGTTTAGCAGATTTGTTTCTTGGTGTCTTTACCTTTCTAGTCATTGCTGGAGTTTTTTGGCCGTTCATCTCAACATTTGACGTGATATTTTCATMATTTTCATCACTTTTTTCCGAGTTTTCTAGGTAGACGCTGTAAGCGGACCTTCTCTTATTAGGTAACATATGCAAAATATTCGATTTGGAGTGTTTACTTTGCGATTTTTGTACAAAAACAGCGGTCAGACACTTGCCCGCTCAATGCTCAATGTTTTGAATAAATTTGATTAACACGTGGTATAAATTAGGTCAGCGGTTAAGAACACACACAGGAAACCCACGTTGTTCTTGGGTTTCCTGTGGCGAAAGATGGTGGAGTCGCCGGAGTCGCCCATATTTACAAACAGACCGCCAAAACACGGTGTTTTAGCCACTCCTTGTTTACGCGCATTCGTAAAAACGAGTGAGATACTTATGTAAGATGTCATTAGACTATTCTTACTCGTATGATAAGAAGAGGAGGTCATCTGCATGGGGAATCCATGGGTTATCTATCGGTTATATCTTGTTATTGTTTGTGGCTGTTCTAACTCTTGAACAATGTGAAGTCATCCCTTTTGTATTCAAGGATTCTCCGATGCTCTATTTCCATGTAGTGTTTCACTTATACGTCATGGTTAATATAGCTAGTTATTATTATGCGGTTGTTGTAACGGACACATCGTGTAGGAAAAGTGAAGGTACACCAAGTCCACGACAAGACTTCAAGACYGGTTATTTCTTTTGCCAATCATGCCAACAGAATTCCCCACCTAGAGCACATCACTGTCCAATCTGTGATAGCTGTATAGACAGGAGAGATCATCATTGTTATTTTATAGGTAATTGTATTGGGCGATTTAACCTGCGCTATTTCATAATCCTTAATGTTTGGGCCGGTGTGGTGACAGTCTATGGTTTAATCATCAATYTGATGTATTTGCATAAACATATCGTACCACTCTCTCCTGTAAGCATAGAAGGACTACTCCAGCTCATCCCAGTAGTTACAGTCTACAAGTGGATTGTTGGCAAGGTGGCTCTATTCTACCTAATTGTTGTCATAGTAACATGGATGACTCTTGTTCAAGTACTAGTAAGCTTTATTTGTGGTTGTTTTCAATTGCGTCTTTTRTTTACTGGRCAAACAACCTACGARTACAGCCATCAAATCAAAGATTATGATCAMGGCTGGCGATTCAACTATAGAGATCTTTGTGGCAAGTATTGGTTTRTCTTATGGATATTTCCAGTTTGGATCATGAAATGTGGCAAAGATACGGAGAGTAACGATAAACAGTGGTCAAGGGATGAGGACAAGCCAAGAAAGGTCATTTGATTCTTACATTATAGCTTTATTGGACCTGACCTAATGGAGATCTTGTCCCTGGTCATGTACACTGTCCATGCTTCATTTATTTATTAGCTTTGCCAAAGYTTAGTTTCCCATAAATGCCGGTGATATATATACACCATAACAATATCTGCCAGAAAACCACTAATGTACWGGAAGTCATTCCAAAGTTGTACTGGTGTACACTCTATAATGCTCTTGTTTTATTCATCATTTTCTGCTATAATATAATTAAACCAGTGATTGTTTTACAATATTTTATTAACAGTATTCTTATTCCACTGTTCATTACTATACATTTTCCAGGAATATTGACTGTATGTGAATAACTCAAAGAAATACATCATTAGATACATATATATTAATCTAATTCAAATCATTGGTTAATATATTAATGCTATGTACAATCAATTTTTGAAAAAGTTACATACACAAGACTCCATAAATAAAATTTGTTTGAAAAGTTGAAAACAAATTACGTGTTAGAGGAAGAGCAAGAAAATCACACCACCATTTTATTTCCACTGACTCCTTGTGCCTATTTGACTACCTTGATGTTTTGTAAATATTTGACAGATTTTATTTCTTCACTCCATTTCATTCTATTCCACTTTATTCAACAATAAAATAATCCAGTATTTTACAAAGAAAACCCAAAATATTTGTTGGATAAAGTCAGAGAAGATCTAGTAGCCTTGACACAATCTGTGGATGAAGAGCAATCATGTTTTGAATCTACTTTTTCTTCTTAAAAATACATTTCAGTTTTATATAATCTTACAAAATTGCAAAAAGACATACACAACAATGAGAACAACAAATTATAGAGTATCTAATAGCTTTACCAAGGCTTTCTCTGCTACACGACCCTTTCTTTCTTTTAGTCTAGCAACAATAGCAGATATTGACACCATAGCCAAGTACAGACCACTTACACTCCTAAACAAGACACACGTAATGTCAGTAATATGCTGTTATGCTACATGAGATAGTGGTGGACACCACTGATGTTTTGCTTCTATGAAGATCTAATTCTTGTGACCATAGCAGAGCACTAACATCTTCACTGTCCAAGTCAAAAGTACAGTCATGTTATTGCTTTCAATTGTAATATATTTGAACCCAAAAGTCTGGCATTATTTTGTAATTACCTGCTACATCGATAATGTTCTGGGTTAATGGCTTTACTGTTAGCAACTTTGAGTTGATTCCACCACCTTTTAATCATCTCTCTTATCATGTTTAGTGCAACTATTATGTAACTAGAGGATTTAACAAATTAGTATTGAAATAAAGCTAATATTTATAAATTTTATATAAACTACTTTCCTATAATCCAACAATGTCATAGATGCTTTGTGTCACTTACTCTTCAAATTTAGATCCTAACAATCTCTCTAAAGCTGGTAACATCTCCAAACATGCACCCATTGATAGTCCTGTCCCTTCAGGAGCATTATCCTTAACCCTTTGACAAAAACAAAAGGAATCRCTCACTTGAAATGATAGCAGTCTATTACAGTGGGTAAGGATTATTGTGCTATAGTATGGTATAAATAATTATTGATATGAAATGGTATAATATGGCATAATCTGGTGGTGTATGGTAATACCGTACATGCATGGTAAGATATKGTCATGGTGTTCTGTAGTATGCTCTATACCCTGGTTCCAGAGGCTTGTCTTACTATGTTATAGAGCCACCAAGCAAAAGAATAAAAGAAAAGCCTCTGGAACCAGGGTATATGCTCTAGGATAGTGTAAAACTATTACCTGCTTGTAAGGAACGGTAAAACATCAACTAGTAAAGAATCATCTTTTAACCTAAAATTGATGAATATCTTTTGTAAAAATGTTGTGTTAAAGTTACAACAACAATTACAATAAACAAACAAGCAAAGCCCTACCTTAGAACATACTCTAAAAATTCATTTGTATCCTATAATATTTAGAAAATAAGTTTATGAGTATTTCCTTTAATCTTTTTTTCCAAGCCTTGTGAAAAATAATAACAATCATACCTTATGCCACAAAGTTTCAGCAGCTCGAAGTCGTAGTAAACGAGTTGATAATACACTCATCATTGATGAATGACTCTGTGTAATCTACAAGGRAAAGTAAGAAGTTGATTAATCACTATTTTGATACTTGAGTTGATCAAGACACATGAAATTGCATTGAAATATTTGTACCTCTAAGGTTTCATCTTCTGGTTCTGARGGATCACTTGTCATCCTAACTGGGTCTGTAAAAAAAATAAGAAAAATAAAAAAAACATTATTGATAAGAATGTATTTCATATTGTATAAAAGTTTTAACTTTACTTATATTATTAGTTTTTGACAGTTATAAGTAGTATTGATAAGAACTAAGTCAATTATTGCTTGGTAAATGTCCTTAACATGCTGTTTTATATTACCATCTTGATGAACTTGATGTCCTTGTGGTTTAATAGGAACTCTCTAAGAAAATCAAAAGGCTTGATTATTAGTTACTCTCTGTTTATGTTAGTTTCAAGTTACTTGATTGGAGTACCTCTTCCTTAATTGGTTGATTGACATCTCTGTTTTGCAATGGTTTCTTGATGTTATCTTGTTCATTTAATCTTAACAGAAAAGAAACTTTATTACATCCTTCAGCATTTTTATTGATATCATACACAACASAAGTGTTGTTTAATGAGCTGGAATACTAAATACTCATATACTATAAAAATGTATAACATAATCTTATATCAGAAAATTGAATTATGTCTTGTTCACTATCCTACTTTAAGGTAAATTAATTTAAATTGTCATGCCTTGAGTCATTAAAACAAAGAAAGGCTTTACACCAACACATGTGGAAGCTTTGACAGCAGGCAAAAACAATTGAATCTCCTCTGTTTTACATGAGAAAGAAATCATTTTCTTACGAGAAAAGGCTCTATTGTTAAATCTCCAGTCAGTACAATATTATAATATATCAAGGCTCTTGTAACCAAAAACAATTTACCCTATCTTGAAAGCTACAGCATTTTGTGGATTTACTAGGACTCCTCTCAATSCCATGACTACAGTGTTTCCACAGTACTAGTTTTTATTTCAGAGCCACACTGTGTAACTTATTATAGTTTCAAAATATTGGGTTCATTGACACTACATTGTCAGTTGGAATGCTTACCCAAGAGGGATGAAATTGTTCATAACATTGACAACTTCACSATCATATTTCTTTCTCTGTATACCCTGTAAAAATACCATTTATTAAAACAAACAAACAAACAAGAGTGTGTTATAATCCAATTAATTGTCTGACCACAGTACACTGAATGTCATTCCAAAATCAAACAACAAACATAGACGACTGTCTTTATACACAGACTGACAGACACTCAGTCTTGACAAATGTCAATCATGTATTGGCAAAGAAGTGTCTATCTTTTCAGCAAATTATACAAAGCAGATATGAACGATTCACAGTCACAGTAAGCGTTCTGGAACGCTTCAGTTAATACTTTCCATCCATCCTTTGTCATTTTTCACATGTAATAAAAACCTTTTCATCAAGACGGCACAATATAATGTAGAATTTTTACTAAGTTCTTAGATTAAGAAGATCGATAAGCCATCCCGCCACCGAAAAATAACGTCAGTTCAATGACTGATTCATTTTAAACCGATGCTGTAAACAAAAATAGACTCACAATGAGTTATGAGTTGTATTTCGACAAGGAGGCTCTCGTCAAATGTACTAATTGAACAAACGTCAAACAAGTCTGAATGAGTTAAAGGTGTAAAAGAATATCATAGATAAAGTCAAAGAGATTTTAAACGAATCGCTGGCTTCGTTAATCCGCCCAATACACGCTTTTCGAACAAACATTGTCTTACCTTTTCATTTTCATCAGATGATTTTTCTGGCATTTCTTGATTACTTTGCTGTTTTTGAATATCTTGAGGTTTCCATTTATATCTTGAGAGGGCCCAATCATAGTAAAAATGCCCTATATTGTCAACACTTGCGCTTCGCTTCTTCAACGCAGCCATTTTGAATGTTTGAATCCAAAAACCAAACGAGCGACCCGCCAAATGGAGTCGCGGAAACAACCAATCAAAACACAGACTGAAAGCCGCATAAATTTACATAATASATTAAAAATTAATGACAGCTGTTGATAAAAGACGCACTTTCCGTTTACTCGGGCTTCTTCGTGGAAACAGTTTGAAACACTGTGACAAAAGCAGAACAGATTTCTTTTTATCCCGGTACTAAATAAACTTTATTTTAACACTATCCCATCCCCTACCTCCACCCCCCMAAAAAATAWATAAAAAATAGATAAAAATCACACAGGAAACCCACGCAGTTTTATGGCATTAAGATCCGATGAAAAGAAATACAAATGCAATCCAAAAATAAATATTGTTATCATAATCATGAGAGCAAAACAAAGAACAAACCGACAGAAAAAAAAGAACAAAATAAACAAAAAAGATAAAGAATAAAAAGAAACACTGAATTCGATCCCGGGAAATGCATTTGGTCTGAAGACCAGCGCCTTAATGGTGTGCGCCACATTACCACGCTCATTTACATTATAATAGACCACTTGACACTTTCACCGAATAGACTACCCCAATTTGACATTATATTTTCGATAGTTACCTAGTTAAGTGCAAGGGGTTATCCATCAGTGTCTAGGGGCCGGATAGCTTCTCCCTCACTGGCTTTTTAGTTAGCGCGAAGTTAGGACCAATTATCGGGATAGCATGGAAGAGCCGAAATCTCTAACCGGAATGTAAATCGATTCGACGCCTCAGCTTCACAGAATGTCTCGGGGGAATCGTCCCAATATTTTTTCGATTTTATGGTCATGGGTTCGACTCCCGGAACGGTCGCGTTCTTCTTTTTCATATTGTTGTTTTTGGTTTTCTGCTGCTGTTGTTGTTGTTTTTTGTTTTGTTTTTGTCTGTTTTTGCACTTCTGGTATAAGAAAAAGGCCGATTCAGGAATCACCGCAATTTTTTAATTCTGGAAAAAATCTCTTGGACCCTGTCTTGGACCCTACTACAGATTCCCCATGATGCTCTGCAGGCCTATAAGGAGGAAACAAAGATGGCGGATAATGAACTTAGACTGAGCACTTTTGGACTTTTAGAACAGGTTTGATTACAATATATGTTATTGCAGCAGTCTAATGATGACTTGAAATCATTGATGGTATCTTAAATTATGTTTATTAGTCGAGTGTTATCGATTTTTTGTTTTAATAACGATGTAGTGCAGCATAGATCAGTAGCATACAAAAAACAATCGTTTTATTTTGAAAATTGTAAGCTATTTTAATTGCGTATTTGTTAGACTTTTAATGAATATGAATGACTTAAAACATTATTTTACAAATTCATGTTATTTTGTATAAGCAATACAAGCTAAATACGTTTTATGAAGAGGTAGCCTTCCTAAATGTCAGAATCGAGCACAAAACTTCAYGTAAGCAACCACCCAGGGGAAACTACAATGTCAAATACCGGGTACTAGTACTTAGGGTTTGTCAATTAAGATTATTATTTTTTATTAGTAAGATATCGTAGATTTATCTGACAATGGCTGTCACTATGGTGATCATGGTGTTCTGTGTGTTTTGATTGACAATTAGCCATTATATTATCTCATGTAGATTGCAATTCTTGGGTTTATAAATGGCGGAGAAACAGGCAAAAATCTCTACAAGGCATTTGTGACTGGTCGTATTGGATATGAAGTATACAAAAGAGTCTCGGTAACTAAAGCAGACCTTCTTAGGGTAAGTAAAGCATAGTTTTTCAGGTTTACATGAATTGTTGGACCCWGTTTTTCAAGCCTCTTTTACCTCTTATTTTAAATTGTTTGCATTGTGATTTCTTTAMTTATATTGCTTTCAGTACCAAACCATTTTAAAAGTCAGTGAATACTGCCAAAAAAATCCCAAGGCAAGTGAAGCCCAGAAGAAGGCCATGCTAGAGAAAGAAATCAAAGCATTTGCAGAACAAGTGGCACAGTTGTAATTCATAAAAAATCAATACAATAAAATTGTAAATACTGAAAATTATTACCATCACAAGCAGAAAAACAGCAAAGAGTAAGAACAATTGTTAGATAAGTGTTTGATCAAAAAAAATTTGAATCTTATGAGTTCTTGAATTTCAAGTTACTAATTATAACATGGCACTTGTAACATAACTCACACCAGACTTACATAGCTTTTTAGGTTAAACTTTAGAATACCCCATCACTTAATGAATATCATTAAAATCCATTGAAATCTGTGTTGTTCTTGAAAGAGCCAGTATGCAAATTTCTATTGAGCCAGAAAGTGACAGGGTATTCTAAAGTCACTGCATTTTTAAGATAAATTGTTCAATATTTATTTACAATTTGTGTAATCCTAGTTGGTAAATAAACTACACATTATATTGTAATGATTACTAAGAGTTTATGAATTCCACCTTCTTGAGTCTGCCTGCTTGTCTACTGCAGTGTACCACTCTGGTAATTTACTCTTAGGATTCAGTCTGTAACTTTAAAAAAGTTCATTATCTAGACATTAGTAAGTTGAGGATATATTGGAGTGCTAATCTACTGTATCAATGTAGTTTTCAGATGAAACTATGATGAGGAAGGCACTATTAAAGTAAAGATTTGAGGAGTAATTCTTTACGTCTACAATTATTTTGGCTTATGTGAAGGGTAGAAATATGTCACTTACTTTACAAAKAGTTCTTCATTGCAGACATGATTAATAGTAATATAAACTAAACACCTCATGATGGCCTGTGTCTTAAATAGGAAGCCTGGCTCCTTGTAATATCTGTATGCACATATTTTTATTTCATCAGTACCAGTTTATGATATTGCACAATAATCATTATTTTAGTTAAGCATCTGGACAGTGCTACCTGTTTGGAATGAGATATAGCAACTCTTGTGGAAAGGTGGCATGGAAGTCAAATGAAAACGGAAGAACATTCGGTCTGACTCCTGTATGATAAACATTGGAGGAAAAAACGTTAATCAACATTATAAGAAAGCAATATGTAAAGAAACAAAGCCAGGAGATGGACTGGTATACTGTGACATCAGTTGACTAGCTATTTGTTGCATAATGTTTAGTTGGTTAGTTGTTTCATTGATTGACAGATTTACTCAGTTGAAAATAGTAAAAGCCAGACCTGCAGGGGGATGATTCAGCATATGACCAACAGCAATTGGATGTGATATACTATCATTATTGTGGCTCTATTGAAAGAAACATTATAAAACTCATTAATATTCATAAGGYAAAACACAATAGAAATCATAGCCCATGAAGAGAGTTGTATATTACATACAGATTTCTTGTTCATTTCCATAAACTTTAACTCTGATTTTCTCGGTCAGATTGATTTTTTTTTCAAAAGTTTCTTTAAAACCTGAGCTAGTTTACCTCAACGTTTCATAAGTAATATACAATATTTGCGGGCGATCTGTATGAGGTTTAAAACAGCTCGCTTTCAGCTCRCTGTTTTTAAAAATCCTCATACAGATCGCCCGCTCATATTGYATATATTACATACAGCTTCAATAAATGATATATTAATAATTATTGAAATATTGAATTACTTCTTATAAAGGGAAACAGCATTCATGTAGAAATGATTATATGTAGCATATAACTCTCAATCATTCTAGGTTTATAATTTAAACTTGTATAAACATATTTCCATTTTCTTGTGTGTGTCAATATGTCAGGAATATTGCATATTGTTCATAAAATTTCGTTTTGTGAACAATTTTGAAATGTTACCATATGGCATACAAACCTTAATGCAAGTGCTATAATTATTAGGATCAATAATACAGCCATCATAACGTGATATAAGGTAGGTGCTTCTTTGATCCATWCCTGGGTAATTGGGCATTTTTCTAATGTGGTGTGGAAGGTACTATAATGAAACAGTGTTCGGCTTCAGTGGTCATGCTTTGTCTTTTAATGTATTCTTAATTTCCTAAATACTTAAATCTCAGGACAACGTTTTCGTAATTAGGTATAAACGAAACATGAAAAACTATTGTCAATCCCAACATCCCTACATTCCCTTATATTCCGCGATTCCAAATTTTGCTGCTTCTCTCCCCAATCTCCCTCTCGCTCGCGTCTTTAAACATGGCGGCCAAATTCTATCTACACGTGCTACTGTTTGATTCCTGAGTCTATTAAAAGCTATGGGGCGATCAAGAAAGGGTTATAACTGGAGAGCAAGACAAAGAAATGAAGAGACRAAGTCCGAAAAAGTTGAATCTTCAAAAAACACAGTTGTTCTTGAAGATAGCTTGCAAAAAGAGGTTTATAGCAAYTCTGTTGACGACACAAACGAGTTAATAGTGGAAAACAAAGAAAAAGCTACACATAAAACGAAACAAAAACTAGTGAAAGTCAAAAAGTTATCGAAAAGTCAACGTAAACGTCTTGAGAAGGTCGTAGAGAAGAAGCAAAAAAAAGCTAGACGAGAAGCCATTTTGAAGGAGTTAGAGAAACATGCTGTTTCCCAAGAAGAACTAGAAATGATGAGCTCTGCCTCCAGACTTGGTCAACTAAACAGAAAAAGGAAGTTATCTGAAACGGTCAATGAATTAAGTAAGGAAATCGTTGAAGATAATGTCATTTCTTCAATTTCTAAGGGAAGAAAAAGAGCCAAGAAAATTCGATTGTTAGAAAGAGCTATAAAACCCTTGCCTGTTCAAAGCGGTGTTACAGTRGATAAGCATGAGTCAGAATCAGACGAACATGAATCCGCCAGTGATAATGAAGACAGCATTGACAATAATGAGAGTGACTGTGCTGAGAACATTGAAAGGAACTCAGGTGATGACAGTCATTCCATTGACAATATAGAAACTCCAAAAAGTGACAGTTATAGTATTAGCGATCAAGATAAAGAAACAAATCAAGGGCATTTGTCAAGTGGAAAGACCAAAGAAATAAGTAGCAATATTCAAAATACTGTGTCTCCAACCCCTTGCCCTGTAAAGCCTCGCATACCTGCAGTCTTTGTTCAAGTAAACAGAGATCCAGAAATCCAAGCAGCAAGATTACAACTTCCAATTCTCAGTGAAGAGCAGTCAGTTATGGAAGCCATTAAAGACAATGATGTGGTTATTGTTTGTGGTGAAACTGGAAGTGGAAAGACTACCCAGGTTCCTCAGTTCTTGTATGAAGCAGGCTACACAAACAATGGGATGATAGGCGTCACTGAGCCTCGCAGAGTAGCTGCAGTTAGCATGTCTGAACGTGTTGCCAAGGAAATGAACATGGATACCAGTAAAGTGTCTTACCAGATTCGTTACCAAGGCAACTGTACAGATGAAACAGTGATTAAATTCATGACTGATGGGGTCCTCTTGAAGGAAGTTGAGAATGACTTTCTGTTGTCAAAATATTCTGTTATTGTTGTAGACGAGGCTCATGAAAGAAGTGTTTTTACTGACATTCTTATTGGTCTTCTGTCTCGTATTGTACCATTACGCAACAAACAAGGCAAAGAATTAAAGCTAATTATCATGTCAGCAACTCTACGCACTGAAGACTTCACTCAAAACACCAGACTCTTTTCCAAACCTCCAGTGAGTGTGAAAGTTGATTCTCGACAGTTTCCTGTGACTGTACATTTCAATAAGAGAACGCCTGATAACTTTATTGATGAAGCTTTTCGTAAAATCTCCAAAATCCACAGAACTCTTCCTGCAGGAGGTATTCTTGTGTTTGTTACTGGTCAGAGTGATGTCCAAATTCTTTGCAAAAAGCTTCGCAGATCATTCCCATTTCATAAGGATGGCAAAAAACAGGATGGCAAAGAAASTGAACACAATGAGTTTGATTTGAATCGGTATCCAGTCCTTCCCCTGACTGAAGAATATGARCCTGAAGATGAGGTTGATGACTTTGATGAGAATGAGAGTTATGATGACATGGATGAYTCTGCATATACCTCCATGGAAGACCACAGTCTACCATTGTATGTTCTCCCCTTGTACTCTTTGCTSTCCAACAAAGAACAAGCCAAGGTTTTCAAGGACCCTCCAGATGGGACAAGGTTATGTGTAGTGGCCACAAATGTTGCYGAGACATCACTGACAATTCCTAACATCAAGTATGTAGTAGATACAGGAATGGTAAAACGCCGCTACTATGATAAAGTAACTGGAGTCTCGTCATTYAGGGTTGGATGGACATCAAAAGCTTCAGCCAATCAGAGAGCAGGTAGAGCTGGTCGTGTCGAGCCTGGACACTGCTACAGACTGTACTCTTCTGCAGTGTTCACCAATGACTTTGAGGAGTTTGCTGAGGCAGAGATTTCACGTCGGCCAGTGGATGACTTRATGCTTCAGATGAAGACCATCAATATTAACAAGGTGGTCAATTTTCCCTTCCCTACTCCCCCTAGTGACACTGCTCTACAAACTGCAGAGAGACTTCTCCTGGATCTTGGAGCCCTGGAGATGAAGAAAACCATCAAAGGCAACACAAATGCTGTCATCACTGCTTTGGGGCGTACWATGTCTAGTTTTCCTGTCTCGCCCAGGTATGCAAAAATGCTGTGTCTGGGACACCAGCAAAACTGTTTAGAATATATCATAGCTATTGTATCAGCCCTGACAGTCWATGAGATCTTCATTGATGACATAAAAGCAGCAGGATTTAGTGGCAACAAAGARGAATTCAAGAAAAGAGTTGCAAAGATAACACAACTCAGAAGAAGCTGGGCAGGATTTGGTGAACCTCAAAAGCTGGGTGATCTCATGGTTCTTTTGCGYGCTGTAGGAGCTTGYGAGTATGCAGGATGTACYGAAAAGTTTTGCTTTGAGAATGGCCTGCGCCATAAGGGTATGGTGGAAATCAGAAAACTTAGAACTCAATTGACAAATGTCACAAATCTTGTCAATCCAAATTCACAAGTTAAAGTTGATCCTCARATGAAACCACCAACTGTAGAGCAGTGTAAAGCATTGCGTCAGATAGTGCTGTCTGGGTTAGGAGATCGTGTGGCCCGAAAGATCCCTTCACAGGAGCTGAAGGACCCAAAGCTGAAAAATGCTTACATCTCTGAYTCCCTTGAAGATCCAGTTTTCATTCATCCAAAGTCAGCCTTGTTTCAAGTGTTGCCTGAGTTTGTTGTATACCAGGAAGTCATGGAGACCACAAAGTTATTTATGAAAGGTACATGTAATACTGATATACTGAGAATATAGCTGACTTTTATTGATGTCTTTATTTATTCAGTYATTTATTWTTTGTTTAAGGTGTCACTGYGATTGAGCAAGAGTGGTTACCAGTATTGCTTCCCAACAAGTGTTCCTTCTCCAAACCTGAAGAGATCCCTCAACCTCGTTTTGATGATGAGTCAGGCACTGTTAAGTGTCACATTACTTGTACCTTTGGATCAAGAGCATGGCAAATCCCTGTACAAGAGCTCGAGTTTCCTTTTGGCCTTGACAGATATAGGTGGTTTGCAAGATTTCTCTTGGAAGGAAAAGTAATTCCAGCTTTGCTTGAGTATGTCCCCGTCCTTCTCGGCACTCCAATATCAATGATAAAGTCATGGTCTAAGCTACAACCAAGAACACAAGTGCTGCTCTCTGAGCTTGTTAGTGCTGAAGCTGACAACAGAGACAAACTTGTCAAAGCTTTCCAGRWGGATAACAAGTTTCTCCTTAATGCTTACAAACAGTGGATACCACAAAGTAAACACAAAGAATTRTCAGCATCATGGCCTCCTTGTTAAAGAGACAGAACATTTTGATCAGAATAGCAGCTATCAAAGACAGTACTCATRGTGTAAAGAAAACCAAACAATGATACTAGCAGCAGAAGTWATACTGGGAAAATAACAACTGCTTTTCAGGCATATACAGTTTAAAAAAATGAATTTGTATTTTTGACATATGATCTATCCATACAAAATAGGTTTTTGAATTGAAAACATTTTGAACAGACATTTTATAACTCTAGTTATTTTAACTAAACCAGGGTGTTTTGACTTATGTGTAATTGAGTAGCAGTATATAATAAATTAACAATTGTAATTGTTAACAAAATATTATTTCTAATTTGATACAAGCCTCTCCCAAAAAATACCATGTATGGGATTCCTGTGGTGATGTATTAGTAGTCTTCTCTCCTTGAACATCACCACAGAAATCCTGAAAAGAATTTGTGCATTTATTTGTGCCATACAACACTTTGCAAGAGGCTTGCGTTTATTACCACAAGTCCTGGATGAAATGCCACCACTGTTCCTGGCACAGCAGAACTACCAACTATAAAAACACCTAGAAATGTTGATTGTGATTGGTTATTGTCTATTTATCTATGTACCTATGACTATTTATCTATGTACCTATAACAATTGTCAAAATATACCTTTTCCTGACTCAGAATGATTGATTGAGGAATTCCTTATTTGTAGACTAAAAGGAAACTTAGCAGGATTGCCCAGTAGAGTGTTATGCAGCTTTCTAAAAAGATCTTCCACCTGATTTATTAAAAAAAAATAATTATTTGACAATAAGTGAATTTCGCGAAAATCATCTTTTATTTAAGCTTAATTTTAAGAAATTTAAAAGCCCACTTGCATCCGAGCACTTTTGCACGATATTAGATTCTGAATCAACCAGAAAGCACTMAGCAACAGACCTTTCTTAAGAAACGATTGCAAAGCTTATCGGATGCACTTGGGCTTTTTAATTTGACATAACTTAAATGCTTTATTAAGTAACCTGTTCTGACACACTTTTATGAACATCTTGGAATTGCTGTTCGAACGRCGGAGGGTCCGGTGTTTGCATCTTAACATTCTGGCCTCCGCAGTTTCGATAATAGTACGTCATACAATATAAATCCCAGATATCAACCATTTCCTGGAATGACTTCTTACTGGCATGCTGTGCAAACCTGGACGCTGCCAAACTACCTCCCATATCACACTTTTTTAAGCAACGCCGAGTCCGCCATTATTTTAAACTAGTTACTAGTCTTCATCGGTCCTAAAATAACAAGGAATCCCAAAGCCGAATTGAATTAGGGAATTAAGAGTGAAAAGTGAATAAATGACACAAATGAGCAATAATGAGATACAAAATGCTTTTATAGGTGTGGACTGAATGTAAGGTTTTCAAATCTTGTTCTCATGATCTTCCTGGGAKCGCGAACACTCTTACTGATTTTGTTGTTATTGTTCTTTTTCGCATCCGAGAAAAAAATGGAATAAACGATCGATAAAGTAAATGGTACCACCACATAAACGATCGCGGTAATTATTATTCAAAAAGTGAAAATGAAACGAAAGGACAAGGCCGGAAAATTAGAAGGGATAAATTCTTTTTTTGACAATGTTTGATATAATCAAACAAACTCTYATTCAGATCAGTTTTTTTGAGTTATCAAATAATTCCTAGTGTTTTGAACGATAAGTGTTAAAGATATCCCAGCTTTACTGAATTAGACTAAGAAAACATGATTATAGAAACACTATAACCTAAATCTGGCKCAAGCTTAATKCATCATTTTCCWTTTACCAAACAGGGGTTTTTCGTATTTTCGTGCTTTTTTAGCGCATGTTTCCCGGGTAACTGTTTCCGTAAAAAGGAATGTCCGACATAGCACTCAGGGTTATCACCCGTCARGTTAAAAACAAAAATTTCGAGAAAAGTTCTCATCGACATGGCTTTCCGTCGTGTTTTCTACAAGCTGAAAAATCAGCTTTCAAGCTCTGAAGATGAGGCACTCAAATTTCTCAGTTATAATGGTAACGGATCGGTCGATGAGATAAATAAATGAATAAAATCTGAGATAATCAGTGACAATAATTCAATCGTTCCGCAAAGGTGATAAAAGTTTTGTAATATTTATATAATTTAATTCAACAATATAATTTGGATTATTATTTTAACGGACGGCAGGAATAGCCCCGATAACCGAATTTCTTTTCGCGTATGCCGAACTCGATGAATTTATTCATTTTTGGTGCTTCGACTTTACTTTTGAACAATAGTTAAAAGCCCAATAATCGATTCGCACAATATGGTGACACAAAGTTTCGTTGGTACTGTTTCGTCTAGGCATTCTCAAGAATTATTGAAAAAGAAGCATAAACTCGATCTCTGTAGTGTAGTTCAGGTCATAGTAGTGTATGCTCGGGTACTCGGTCATGGCTCGCTTGTCACTTGTCTGTCTGCAGTAGCTTTTTTTGGGAAGCGTCTGTAGTCTACGGAACACACGGTGATTTTGCGTCGTAAGCACTCTAACTTCAACATCTCAAGTCAATTTATAAGRCGAAATTTCTACGGTTTTCATGTTTTGGGAAAAGAGGGGGGTGGGACACCAATCCTCAATAAATCGCTCATAACTGACCTCAAAAAACGCCCCGCAAAATCATGGCACAAAAGAGACAAGCATAAGGAGTAAAAGCTGACAAGTCAACTTCCTTTCCTTTGTCCTCGATTTATTTTGAGCTGAATTTTCTCAATTATCATGAGTATAAGGTATTTCAATGGTAACTTATCATACCACTAGTCATGTCGCCTTTGGGATAGGACGCATTCTGTGAATAGTCACGTATTTTATGATCAGTCAGCCAAGACTAACTGCAGTTGTAACTGCAAATTCATCGTTACTGCATAAACACTCAGGATCTACTAATTAGTGTCAACAGTACTATTACTAGAACTCGGAAAGTATAGGCTTTTCATGATTAACTCTTTTTTAAAAGGTGAAAACGAGAATGCATCACACAACAAATCGCGGTTCCATATTAAAAATGGCCGTGGTAGCTTTCTGAATTAAGTCGGAACCATCATGCTGTTTTAAAACAAAATAGCGACATTATATGTTTATCTGAATCGCACATACAGTAACAATGGATAGTTTAATTCTGCTGAATACTGGAGGCAGCTTTTGTCAATATTTGAAAGCTATAGATTATATTGATAATATGCAAGAATCAAGATATGTTGATCGACCAACGTCACTCAAACTAAAAATGAGCTATTATATATTGAGATATATTCCCCCCTTGTGTTCACAGCTAAAACGGACGTCCAAAAATAGAAACTATACTCGGGTGAAAATGCAAGCCTTTCTATTTATAAAATTATGTCCTTATTTGTTATTCACTTTTAAATAAAAAAAMCCCTTAATCTTAGTCTCAGTTAAAAGTCCTTGAACGGTTATCAATGAAGTCCTACCTTAATTTCCTTTTATTTTTGACATAYAGCGAAAAGACAGTCGGCAGATGTAAAAGTGCGAATATAACTTGAAAGCGAAAGCAATTTATGCATTTAAACTGATCTAACTGTAAGCAGACATTTTCTAAGTTCTAGAAAATTCCTTGTTTGACCAATGATGTTTAAGATTCTTAAAGTGACTAACGTCATGTAGAGAAAGCGATTTGTTTATGACTTATATACGGATACCTCGATAATTTTTGTTTCGTTTGTGGAGGTGGTTCTCGGAAAGGAACGACTTGTGTCTGTTTCCTATTCTATTAGTACAGACCCATCTTTTWGTTTGATTCGCTTTTCTCGGMAATTTCGAGATAATGTTTGAATATGAAATGTAATGACTCAAAAGTCAGMARAGGAACTTCWTAAGAAACCACAATAGTCGACAGATTTCTAAATTATTATTTTGAAAASAGGGGGAATTCCATCTGGATTGACTGGGAAACTGGTACCCAGTTGAAAGCAGGTGGGAGGATATTAGTACGCATGTGCGGTGATCACAAATAAAGAATCACAAGTCTGAATGATTTTCTGCGTTAGGAACAGCTGATTGTACACCAGCCATTTTTCGTTTCTCAGGACACCAGCCAAGCCATTTTTGCGTGGAAAAGTAGAATGTACGACGAAGACCAGGATGTCGATGATCTCGACCGACTTTTGGTTTGCCCTTACGAGTCAAGTCACCAAGTGACTGCTTCGCGAATGAACCACCATCTAGTGAAATGTAGAAAGAATTATTATGTTACTGAAAAGACCATATGCCCTTTCAACGATGAACATATGATTTTTGAACAAGAAATTGAGACCCACAAAATTTTGTGCCCAGATAGACCAGACAGTGTGATCGACGAAGTTCAAAACAGCGACGAAAAACGCCGCGAAGGCAACGAAATTGTCGACAGTGTAGAAGCCGAGGAAACGAAAGCCCACACGAATTGCGACTCCGATCYTCAAACGGATAAAGCATTGGCTGAGACCGGATGTATAAACGGGCCAAAAGTAGGCGGTTTGAAAGACTACAATATAGATTCAACAAACGAAGACGTACAAGAAACGGTAATGGTACTTAACAACGATGAATCGACGGTGAATGGCGAAACTGAGTCCCCACAAGAAAATGGCGCGAATGACAAGAAGTGTGACCTAGAAGATGTGTTGGTGAATGCGGTTTCACACATGGCCGGATTCGAGCCACAAGACGACAATATAGCAATTGAAAAGCAATTATCACAATCGAAAGCTAACTTGTCTYCTTCGTTGGAGAATGGCGATGTCAGTGASACAACGGTGAACGGCCATGTCGAGGAACATTTCGACTACAAGAAATACGCACCGACCAAGGAAGAAAAAGAAGAATTTCTCAAACTTATCAAAGAACACAAAGAAGAGCAGAACGGTTTAAGTGATAAGGACGAGTCATGTTATCAGGGCTATGTATGGCAGGGCTACACTTACATAACACAGCCATACCATCCAAACCAATCCTATCCTGGTATGTACGGTCCAGGTACCACATTTATAGCCTATCCTAACGGGGCATACCATCCTGTAGGTAATGGCCAGTATCCCACTCACTATACTTTCCAGCCAGGGTCAGGACCAGTCCCTCAATACATCCCTACCCCTATGCAAGGTTATGACTATAACCATGGATACACCCCACGGCAACACTACCGAAGACCTTACAGAGGCAGAAATCATTATCACAATAATCACTCGTACAACAGATATCATAATGGTTATAATAAACATAACCATTACAATGGCCACAATTACAACAATGGGTATCGCAATCATTATAACCATTATAATGGTTATTACTCTCACGATRCTTACAGTCACACTGACACTGATTCAAACAGCTCAGCATCTGGCCATTCTGATGCTGGTTCTGCCGACCATAACATGTACAATGGTAATGGTCATCAATCTGACAACGAGAGACCACATCATCAACCCAGGAGATCAAACCACTTGTCAAAAGGATGTGTTAACTTGGAGAGGATCATTCATGTCAATACTGACTCTGATGGTGAATCTGGACCACCCAGTATCAATGGTAACATGTTAGACCTATCACCAGAACCCAGTGAAAGTTTTGAGGGGACAAGTAAAAGGAAAGGAGAGAAGGATAAAGTTATACGCAAATTGAGAAAGAAGTTGAATGAAATTTATGCACTTGAGAATAAGAAGAATTCTGGGGTTCAAATTGACTGTGACCAACTCAAGAAACTGTCCAGGAAGAGGGAACTGGAGGATGAACTGGCAGCCTTGACTATAGATTGACCTCTAATGGTGATAAAGGTAGGTATATAATTAATCACATTATTCTTAGCTGTATGATTACATTAAAACATTCTCAAAACATTCAAAGGGTCCTCATTTGACTGATCTAGAATTTTACTCTTTGTATTCACAGATAGCCATTATTACAAATTGTCTAGTATGAAATATGAGATTTTTTTCATAAAATGTTATTCAGTATATGCCTCACATTGAGGATTCTATTTAATACATGTTATATCAGAGGTTATATCTTATTTTTTTGTTTCTGTCATCATTTATTCAGTGTTCTGTCAAATCTCTCATAAAGGTTTAAATAGCCCAACCACAGCTATTCCTAAGTACAACTGAAWTACTACGCTTTCAAGAGGAAAACTTCTAGTTTGTGAAAAGACAATAATTCAAACACTGACTAAAATTTGTGTTGTTTGCCTTCACTCATGTCACAAGCTGTATTGACTTCTTGGCAGGGGAGAAATAGCTGTGTTGATTTATCTTGTTCAATCCTGTTTTCATTTCAAGGCAAATTCTAAAAAAAWTCCTCTCATTTTTTGCTGTTTTAGAGTTGTGGTTTACTGTTTTCTAATGTGAAAAACCTTGCTTAGAATCCCCTTAGGTATTGATGACAAATTTAATTTAATTCATTTTCTGAGTATGAAAGAAATTACTTTTCTGAAAGTGAGTGGGAGGATGTGTGGGATTGTTGTCTTGTTTGGACTTGTAATTGTGATTCTGAAGCTTTTCAGATTGAATATTTAATTTAGATATACTTCTTGCAAAATAGTGAGATTTTTTTCTTTTGTACAATGTATGCATCTTTTTTTTAAATAAAAACTGTGTTTGATGACCAATACACCATTTACCTGTTCTAGAGTAATCATTATAGTCCTGATAGTCCTGATAAACTAGAAATTCAAAGTAGTTTGGATTCAATTTCTGAGAGATACAAAAAGAGTTGTTGTTATTCACAATTTAATGAATTCCTTTGTCTTTTGACAGAAAAAAAGAAAAACATCAAAATTCACTTGAATAAATTAGTTTGTGTTTAAACTCCACTGAATACACCTGATATTCAACCTTTTCTCCTTGGTACAATTTATATTAAATTTTAGGAAATTGTGTTTTCAAGTTTTGTCCTTGTTTACTGGTTTAAATGACATTTTAGAGACAAAATACTAAATTGAAAAAACATTATTCAAGATAATTTAAGCTAAGTGAATAAATGTGTTAACCTTACATTATAGATAAATATTGACAACATAAACAAACTCGTATCATTCTTCAATAACGATTATTCCCAATTAMATGTAAATCTTCATTTTATGGCTTTTTATTTCTAATATGTATATTTCTTTTATTTTATTCAAAAATAAAAAGAGAAAAAAATTAGTGACAATCATAATTAAGGAAATGATAACTTTTTGACCCMAAAAATCGTTCGCTGTCATTTTTGATAACAGATTAGAAGACCTTAGAATTATTAGAGAAGAGGATTTTTTTTCTTAAAAAAACACCTACTAATWTGTCTTAATGTCAGTGATATTTACCCAATAGTTTGTGTTTTAATTGCTTAAAAATGGATAAAATATACCCCCTTGTGATGCCATTTTAGCCATGCTGTTCATTTCGTAAGTTTGAGATCCAGATAGCAATTATTCTACTACAACAGCCATATCTATACTCCTCAGGGTTGTATTTTTAAGAAGATTATAGGATTATAAACAGCATCAAGGTTACAGAAATAAACTTACTGAAATAATCTTCCTTCTGGACAGTTTTTGTTAAAACTCATACTTTGTATTTAAGCTTTTTTGCCATATTTCTTAGAAATGAGATGTTTTATGTACTATCAATGTTGCCCCAKGAGTTTTTAATTATACTTGCAATGTTTGTACTCTGTTCTCAGATATGAATTTCTCATTTTGAAATAAATTATGAATTATTTGAGGAGGAAAATTGGGCAATTTGTAGAATAACATTATTTTTATTGRTAGGGATGTATTTTAGAGTATTAGATAATTTGCCTTAGGGTGAATTAAAGAAAATGCACATCCTTGATAAGCCCACTGGAATAGTCAACTTGAAGTACTGGAAAACAAGAATTTAAATAAATATTGTATCTACTAGTACCTATAGAAACAGAAAAGAAAAGTATTGGCAAATGAAGCCACTTTGGTTTTGTTTGTTCGTACAGTAGTAATACAYAAGTCAACAGTATTCAGTAAATGGTCCTCTACTCTCRTTATGTTAAAGGGTACTGTGCAGATACAGAYATTGGAATTAACACTTCACGAGAAATGCTCACAATCTCATTGAAAATGAATTGTTTAAATGATAAGATTTAGATATTCAACCTTTTGAGAATATGTTTTTCTATTATCTCAGACGTGYACTAACTAACCAGCAGTGTATTGTTGATTTCTCTATGATCAATTCATWCCTGCATACCTATCAAAAATTGGTTGGTACACAACTTAGAATTGCAATTGGTTTCATCAACAAAGTAGGTTGTTGAAGGTTGCCTACAGTACATATAGAATACTAGGTTCCAATTGAGATAATCTTAACTCAGATGTTTGTCGGAAGGGAGGCTTTAGGATTGTATCATAGTCTGTGTTGACCACTGACTGCTTCAACTTTCCCTTAGGCTGGTTGTTATGGTAAATCCAACCATTTTGTATTTTAGATATATTATTTATATCCTTGATTTTATTGTGCGATGTTTTATAGTGGACATTCTAACAGGTCCCACTCTAAGACAGTTTGATAAGAAACCAATCATTATCTAGTACTCAAATTGAATCAGTTGTATGGTTTTACTGTTTTTTGAGTGGTCCTGGTTAAATGTCCTCTATRTAATCCTTTAATCTACCAATGCAATGCAACATTGACTTCTCAAACATTCTGTTTTGTTGTTTTGTTTTGTTTCAATAGTCTTGACATTCATATATTTTGTATACATGAAATGMAAAGGAACTTTACAATTGTGAACTTTTTTACATAGTCAGAAATACAACACTTTAATCAGCAGTAATTAGTATTTCTCAGTCAGTATTAGTTTGGTTATGCATAAAGACATTTTATTTTTAAGTTCTTGTCATGGATGCAATTGTGTCTCTGTGGAATTTTGTTTTCACTTATAATAAATATTTATCTAGATGTATCTTCCTACCATGTAAATATGTCTTCGAGAAGGAAACTTTGAATRCTAGTTATCATTTTGCAAAGAGTAGGATTGATTCAAATAATATTTTGATTTGTAAATTTTCTGCTTCCATTAAGTTGTGAATTTTATGCATTCATTTAAATTTTGTTTTCCCAACATTAGAAAATAATATGCATACAAAAATGTCATTTTGGTAACCCKGCTGGAATCAAAGGGTGTTWCTGCAGCCACCTTTTATCATGTKCCTCTGGCTGTAATCACCAGGTACAACCCTCAAACTGATATGTAGCGTCTTATCCTCTTGCCTTTTCCAGATAGACTTCACAAATAACTAGAAGAACATTTATACAGATGTTTGACAGTTTCTACAATGAACAACCCCACCCGTTCCCCCACAAGATAGGTTTGGTAGAAAGAAACACTGGACCTGGCATTGGCTGGCAGATAAGTTAATCATTGTGTTGATAGTTATAATGTTAAAAGGTTATCAAACAGTAAGCCATTAGTCAGWTTTTTAACAGTAATTATAGGGCTAAATACCTGACTTATAGCCTGTTGATTTGGCTATAAACATACAATGTATATGATCATCTATTTAATGGCAATCAGAGATAAAGGGTTTATTTTGGTGGAATCAAATAGTCATTTGTAAATAGATATGCCTGCGCATAATAGATCAACATTGTGCTATAGACAATAACATTTCCATTTTAGTCTGACTTATGATCAAAGTCAATCCCATTTTTTGAGTTCATTCGTTTATTATATAATCATATGAAATGAACAGCTTTGAGTAACTAAGCTCTATATTTCCATCCATGAACCATATTCAGTTGGCATACCATGGATGTAGTAGCAATGTAAATARCAAAAATGATAATTAACTGGAATCAACTTGCTTAAAGTTTGACGTTATAATGTCTATATTAGATAAGAATTATTCTTGGGACTTATCTTACCTTTTGGTGCCTGTTAAGGCTTTGGTTATTTCCATTAGAAGGAAAATATAAAAAACAAACAAAAGATATAGTTATAGTCAGTTGTAAATTAACAGAAATTTGATGTCATTTTGTGTAGATTTCACAAAGTGCATAAATGTTATGTGCACCTTATAGGCAAAATTGGGCACAAAAAAGTGAATGGCTAAAAAAGTTTGCATATTTATCCAATTCCAAATAAAGTATTTAATATATATTTTGGTCAAATTGTTAATGTCGAAAAGAGGATTCATCACATACCCAATAAAACTCTTCAGAGAGATACACTATTATTTTTGTGCTATTACACAGAGTCATACTTAAAGAATTCTGTTCACCTTACGTAAAGTGCTATTATACAAGGTTAATATTTACCACTAATAGCATAGATTCCATTTACTGCATTTGACGTGATAGTTAAGTAAAGAGATATGATTTATTTTTGAAATAATTTKAGACAGTCAACTCTTGACCTTTGCACAATCATATGTACAAGAAAGTGTATCATATGATCTAGCTTGTGTGAATCCACTAGAATGTGAAACTAGCAGTTTGGTGATAATTGCTGGCCACAGACAGAGATGCCAGCATTGCTTTCATCCTTTCTTTTGGGTGARGAAATGACCAGCATCAGCACAACCTTCTCTAGTTTAACTGCTTAGTTTAATCATGATTCAGTGATTCAGTGGATTGACTGCAAGCATTGATTCCAAAATACAAGTAATAAGTGCAATGATATACTTCGCTAAGGTGAGAAGTTTAACAATCTTCAAGGAATCACAAGATTTCAAGGTCATTACATGAGTTTGACTGTATCGTATGCAATGATAACACACTATAGTATCAAAATATAGTGATACAATAGACAGTTTGCTTCATGAGATACATAGCACAAGAAACACTTGGTAGAGTTAACCAGGTATATCACATAATCAAAATAATATTATAGAAATACTATATTTATATTATTATCTCAGGGGGAAGGGAATCATTCATGACATTCTCTAATATGTCACAAATCAAGTTCACTTMTAAGTATGTAGTGTTTGTGTGTGGAAGAATGCTTGCAAYATGTGTTTTGTACCATYSTTTCCAAAGCTACACAACATGTCCCAGATAAAAATGCATCATGAGTGCARCCTGGTAATTATTAGCTGGTTTGATTACTTTGAAGTTTATCTGGGTTGTTTGCATTTCAACACAAATGATGGTAACCATAAAGTCTTTCTATTGTGCATATTACTATCCTTGCAGACTGATGTAAAGATACTAATTAAAAATGATAGTGTTTAAGTATGGCTCTACCTTCCATTACAATTAATGAGCTGCCGTCGCATTGAATTATCAAGAGGTTCATTACAGGCGTCTTACATAAATCTGTTCTTCATAGCAAAAAGATGCTTCCACTGATGACCAAATTAAGCTCTTTGTTTCATTGCATTTATATCAATGGTGTTTTTTTTCATTGGCTCATTCTTAAGCTCCATATGATATGTTGATACAATATTATAATAATATTAGTAATATATTATTAATGCATTAGATATTAATGCAATGAGACAAACAGCTTAATTTGGTTGTCATGGAAGCACAACAAAAATAGAGCGGATTTCGTATGAGTGGGACACCGTTACCGCACGGTTACCGCACAGTTACCGGACCTGGCCTGCGCAATTTTGGTGAACCAATGGGGCACTAGAATTTGGTTACAGTACGATTACGGTCACAGTACAGTACCGTCCGTTTCCCACTCATACGAAATCCGCTCTACTTGTCAGCTTTGCAAGTTGTATTGCATATTTCCACACACCAACCTTTCTGTACATATACCAAGTAAATTCCTTTCCTTTAAACATTATTTTTTCTTTTAATGAATGTCATGAATGAACTTATAGTTAGACACCTTAAAGTGTTTAGTGAAAGATAATAAAACACAAGTTGTTTATAAGAGATCAAATCATTATGAACAATGCTTCRTGGCAAGGAACGGAACTGAACACGTCACAGTTTGATGGATTGCTGAAATTGCAATTACACATTATTATTGAGTTTATTTTTCCTCAGATTTAAAGTATTAAAATATTATTATCAAAGATTATATTGAAAGTTCATCAACTCCTTGTAATATCAGCTTCTTAGTCTATGAGTAGGTCCAATAGGAGTCATTTAGTATTATTTTGAATGGACAGAGGGTGCAATGCAATAAGAGTTGTCAAGTTTTGGCTTTACAAAGCCAGAAAAACCAGGTTACTTGTTTACCAAAAAAATTATTTTATTTTACTTGCATTTGCAACTGCAGTACACCGTACATTTTTAGCCTTGGCAAATTTTCTCTCAATGTCTTGTATTTGACAAAATTGAAGTATACTTTTTATTTTTTGCCATGGACCTCACATAAACCAAAAGTTGCTATTACTTGTTATTAATATTATGAAATAATTATATTCGAAAACAATTCACATACTGAAGTTATAATTTACACATTTAAGTATTAAGTTATGTCATTTAACCCCAAGAATCATTTACACTATAGTCATTGACATTAAAGAACCAAAAGATGACATGTGAGGACGAGATTTGATTTTTCTTCATGAAGATTTATCATCTTTCCTTTTGACAGAACTAACAGTATAATAGACTTCTGAACCTTTTACGTCACTACTTGATTTTCAATGCATTGTGGGATCAGTTTCAAGRGAAAACAAAAGAAATCCACCATGTTTTGTCCCAAACATGTCCTACAATGCATTGCGTATACGGTACATGACGTAAAAGCTGCAGAGGTCTATTATCTATATAACAGTGGATCATTTAGTGAGGTAAAGACAGTAAAGTGCTGACTATAGTGTGAATGTTTCTGTGGGTTTTGTTTTTTCTCTACATGCAGTAGGGATCCTCAAATGCTGTGACAAAGAATTGTACAAATCGAGGGCATCACACTTCAGTAGTCTATTTTTAATCAAGTAGTTGTTAGTATTGCTTCTTTGTCATTGGTGTTCTTCAGCTAGAGTTAACGACCCATGAAAACACTAGACTACAATTCCATTGTGTTGTTTAGTTTCTCTGGGTTTGTTTACTCTAGTACAACTATCACCAGCTCACAAAGCCTACAAAGCTTGTGTCCTTACATTATATCAAATTAAGACAGSGCTGTGGCTATAACAAGGCATTAGACAGGACATACAATATCAATTTCAAGATCTATTGATTAACATTTTATTTGATCAAGGGCATTTTGGATTATTACATCTTGACTATTAAGCATAGTGCCCAGGTACAKGCACTAGTGTGAACATTGCAATTTTTGCTGGTTCTCACRAACCTTCCAGGYACTGAACCTGGTACAGAATACCAGAGTGTGCAGGTTTCTCCAACACAACATCTCTASTGYYTGTGATACCCYGGGCCAAGTCTATAGTTAATGCCSTGATCATATTAATGTATTGTATGATAGCTTGTWGTAGGGTTTTGTGAAGGGACACCATGATATCAAGTTGTTTTACCAGGGTTTGTAGCATGATATAACCCAGGTATGGATGTTATAGCTATGTAAAATAAAAATAAACTGTGCAAGAAAGAACAATTGTTGTTGTTGTTGTTGTTGTACCTATTTGGGAAACCTTTAAAAATGACCACTTGTAAACAATAGGATACGATATATTCCTCTTAGTGGAGGATTTTGTGGTGGGGTGTCTTATTAACAACTTTCTAGCTATAATCAATGTATCTATGGTATTCAATTCTAGGTTAAAACAAATCAAGTTTAGTATTTTAAGAGATCTTTATTGAATACTTCATTAACAATATGTGATCAGTAGCATAGCCTGCTTCTAGTCCTCAATGAAGTCCGACAAGTCACAGCACTTGTTCAGATAATCATCAAATTCGATTTGACATAAAAGCAATCTTAAAATATTTCTAAAATATTTCACTCCTTGTTTTCTGTCCAGTGCAGYATATCAACAGCATAACGTTACGTCGTTAMGAACGCATCAGAGGGAATCTTTCCTTTGCTCTACAAAACAAAGAAAACGTTGGTTGTACTTGTATGATAAGTCAATAAAAAATAATGTACAAAGGCAATTCACGATACACTATAGCCATATCACTTTTTTTCTGCTTGTWTTTTAGTCTGAAGGTAAAATGACTGAAATAGGATTTCTTTCAATCCCTTTTTTCATCTATCTTTGTTTCTTTTACGTATTTTCGTTGTGTTAATAGCGTTTTAATGGTACCCTTGCTTTACATTGTTCTTCCTCTAATCCGCTTGACATGTCTATCTCCATGTGCAAGAAACATGTATAAAACATGTCCTTTTGTTTGCGAGCTAAACGATAAACTAAAAACCAAAGCTGCAAATGATAACGTCAAAAACCCCTTGTTTACTGTACCACCTTGAGGGCTGAACGGAGATTCATCCTCTTCCTTTGATCGATAGTTAAACTAAAACAAATGGTTTCATATTTTCTTACATTTAAATCTGTAAAAATTCCTGCTGCCTTTTGATAGTCCCAGTTATTTTGCGCAAGGCACCTAAGAATGAAAATAATAAAATGAATAAAAACATGGATGAAAAAGGACGGCGTCCAATGCCGCACCTTTCTTGAATTACTGAATTAGCGCAATTTTTTTGTAATCAAACGCTTCCTTCTTTTTGTACAAATAAACGGTATTAGTTTTAATTGCCTTTAGTCGAAAACGTGTACATGTTCAATTTATTGTGTGTATAATACCGCTGCAGTACTGTAAAGACGACTCACAACCCGTTAAACGGGATCCTCAGACTAAATATTGTTTTTAAATTCATCGGTTGAGAGCTGAAAAGGGGCATTGATATACAAATTATAAACAAAACAATTTTAAATCTACATTACTTTTTATTACCATGGTACCATAGCAGTCCGGACATATGTTAGGCTTGACATAAATATTCAGTATTTTAGAATAAAGATTTATGACAAGAAAATGAGTCATTTTGCTCTTTCGCTACATTTGATAACTGGAATACGATTTGGTGTGTCAGCCGCAAAACCAACAAGAAATCAATATAGAAACTCACTTAATGTACAACATTTTAAATAATATTTTAAAAGATATTATGCGCATTTGATCAAACAAACACCTGTTGGTAATCATTATTTAGACTCTTTATCACTAACAGAAAAAGCCATCGTGTTGTATTCAAAAACAATCTCCTAATRGACTGACCTGTAGGAATATTCTGCGTTCATTTTCGACTCTTGGCTAAACTGGCTGATCATCTGTTGTTGCTGAAAGACAAAAAGCAAGAAATTACACATGAACGGCTTCAAAACAAAACTAATGAAGAAAAAGCTGACTTTCCGATTTCCAGATGCCACCGAAAAAAAAAAAAATAAAATGAAATAAAGACATTGATAAAATAAAATGAAAATGTCAGCTTTGAAGTAAAAATCGAAATGAATGTCGATCTTCAAGGCTCCAAATAAAGGCGCATTAATAATACTACAGTAAATAGTTTGATAGACGTTTTCTGGGCCGATCTATTTTATTTTTTTTTTTTGAAAGAAAGTAATGAGAGAAAAGATTTAATATGGCTGCAAAAGAAAGGCTAGTTTAGGAGAAGAGACCCAACCAGCAGGTCGTTCTTTTCATTGACATATTTTTTAAAAATAATAATGTTTGTACATGTAACGATGAAATAATTGACACAATTGTCACTAATCATTCATGAAAAAACAGAATTGAAAGCGTTTAATCAAAGTAGTTGGGTTTACAGAAACACAGCTGTAATATCTGACACGGGAGACGCAACAAGTCCATAATAGRTGTTATTTCTAACAATCAATGGAAAATTGAAAAAAGAATTCCGAAAAGTAATGAGAAAGATGGTACAAAACTAAAACATAAAGAAAGAAAAAACAGGGAAATTTTATGGATGATTCTCCCTAAGTACACATTTCAATTAAAATATAAAGTAATGAAGCCCAGCGCCTGAATATTACGATAAAAAAATACAACCATTTTGTTTAAAAATAGAAAAAGAAATTTGAGTAATTCGAAGATGTATATATTTCTTGTTGTAATCTAACACTGACGGTTTTCCCGCCCAAAATGATAACAGACAGCTGCAACAGAACCACGTGTTGTAACTTGACAACCAACGCCCTCTTATCGAAGACCTATCGGCTAGGATAATCATAACCTCATAATTGAAACTGTTTGGGTTGTTGATATGAACTCGTACAAAAAAAAGACAGATAGCAGACAGCTGATTTTAAGCATAAAAACACTTGGTGATTGTGCAACACACGACATAGAGAAAACCACATGGAGAATAACGAAAGGAATGAAATAAACGACAWAGAATACATTAATAGCCCCTAAAATGATATATTGCACCAGTATRTRGGCATGAGTGACAGTTCAATGGTAGRATAATTTTTGGAGAGTAAGGGGGRTGGAAGGGGCAGTGGGGTAGTGGAACAGGCATAAGTAACACAAAAGTGTTAGATTGGAAGGAAYATACCAGGAAGTCCAGGAACACAATGRYATTAGAGTATATGCTGCAATGAATTACCTCTGGTGTTAAACTGTTTGATACATTAGTTGATGATGTTGCTGGTAAAAACGAAGGAGCTGATGATTCAGGTTGTGTTGTCGTAGCTGCACTTGCAGAGCGTTGCTTTTGAAAAGCCTAAAAAAACACAAAAATTGTCTTATGTTTTCTTTGTGGTCTTGCCACAAACAAGCGAAAAGTGTAGGCTGTTTAGGCTTCCTTAGGAGCTCATTGGGCTTCCTGTTTATGAACAGTAAAACTGCGCCTCACCTGGATTTGAGATAATGTGGGACTTCGTATGTGGAGCTCGTCATTGATTAGTCGGAGACTGCAATATAAACAGATTTCAATCATGAATATCATTGAAACCAACATAACTATATAAATACAATACAATTTCATCATCATCATCATCATCATCATGATCCCCCAAATGAAAGCTGGTTGTTGGTTGTCAATTTCATTGCCATCATCATCATCATCATCATCATGATCCCCCAGCATCATCATCACGATTCCTCAGTAGACCAGCCCTAGACCAGCCCTCCACCAAATGTTGGTTGTCAACAGTCATCATCATTAATTTGAAGTACTTACGATTTCCCATCACTTCCTCCTGGAACAGCAACAAAAACTCTTGAAAATGACCTCAGGGTTTTGTGGGCTGAATATTAAAAAACACACCAAAAATCACAACATTGAACCACTTGATACCAGTTATTAAAACAATGATTACAAACCTTCCATGAATAACCCACGGATACAAAACGAAAGACATGATGGCTGAAATAAAAGAACAAAGAATTGAGTTGTCAGGGGGATGTACCAAATGCTGTTGTTCTAAGACCATTGTTAAAAATGGGCAGTAATTCATTCATCAGTAAGAGTCATGACATCAAAACAAATGTAATATTTGTTGTCATTGAAATTATATTCACGGCACTGGTGCACACCCCCCCCCCCCCTATATCTGTCCCTGCCCCCTATATCTGTGCCTGCATTATCTACACACGCACTTACCACTGCAAAATTAACATCAATGATAAAGGTAGATAAATCATGTGTGGTGGGTGGTAGCTCATTCAACATGGCAACAACTGACAGCCGATTGGTCTTTATTAATGATGCTCTTTGGTCTGGATAATAGAACATATAGTCAGGCAATTACATTAGATGATGAGTCACTGAGCCATGTGGGATAGTCTCAGAAATCATACAAGAGCATGTGTAATAAGTACATTAATATTAACAATCAGAAACAACTGAAGAAAGCAGCCCTTTATTTAAAGTATTACATAATAGAACTCACCAGCTTCCTTTCGCCTAAGCATGTTTCGACTCATTTTCATATATTCTCCCAACGACGGTCCCCTTATTATAAAAAAATTACATTTCTTAATCATAATCCTCAAAATAACTTGAGAAAAAAACAGCTTGTGAACTACCAAAACTCAATTGTAATTTATATTTAGAACTTATATAAAATATTTCACTAGCTTTTAGTCCAATGAGGGTTTAGCCATCAAAACCTCACAAATGCATTGTACTYTAAAAATAATACAGTTTTGTAATATAAAAACCTTGGTCCTTTGTCCTTGCCAAAAGTGTGTGGTCCTTTATCTTTGTTAGCTATTATTCCAGTATTGGTGCACAATGAAAACATGGCCTGAAGGGGAACAAGAAGTCAAACAAACAAACTTCAAAACTAGGAAATTGAGTAGCCAAATATACATTTTGAAGAACAAAACTAACCACCAACCTGCTCATGGTATGCTTCAAGTAAAGGTTGTCGATCATTGGAGTCAAATATCTTGAAATATCTGAATGCAAACAGGAAGCACACAACACGCACATGGGATTACAAAACAGTATTATCATGCAGTATGAGATAATAACATTATCACACCAGTCAATCAAGCACAAAAAATGAAAGCTTTTCCTAGATGAATATCACCATCTTGTATCAAATAATGATAATTTTGTATTGAACCCAGTCCAAAAGTACAAKAACCACACCATCAAATACTTGTTATAATATGATTACATAAATTCCACACCAATTGCAGAWGTCATTTTCTTTTAGTTGGAATTGGGACTTAGAAAGTGTGTTGCATACCATGGGAAAATTAGCATGAACGTCACACTTTTGTATTTGGCACAATTGACCATGACTTTCAACAATACTCCCAGAATGGGCATTTCCACCATCACCACCTGTACTATCATCAACAATAACAAAGAACAAAAATCAACATTCAACCAGATCAAACTGGGGTATTCTCTTATGTACCAGTCTATAGCATTTCCTGGTCATTCCTGGTATAATTTTGCTTGACCAAATGAAGTGTCTTTAGATGGTTATATTAGTGACCACTTCTKCATTAGTCAATGGGTTTAAACAGTTCGACTGGGGTTTAGTACATTCTTTGTACGACCCCTTATCTTGTCAAAACTGACCCAGCCAAAACWTGTGTGCAACATTGTGCACATTAACTGGTTTAATAAGCTAAATTCACCTGCCAATGTAATTAATAATGCAGTGTTTTGGCAAATTCAAAGCAATGCTACAATTGCTGATAATTTAGAAACTGAAGCTTATTGAAATGTACATGAATTCAAAACAACTCCATCAAAACAGCATCAAATCACAAAATAGTTGACAAGAGTTTGTTGACAGGAGGGATTTGTATACAACAAACACTCTGTTACAAGCCCAAAATACTTTTCCCTTGAAAATGACAGCTACAAGGTGATCAAAAATCTTGAGAAATTAGATTAAATCCCATGATGTCATCCTTGTATTTTTTGGACTTGGTTTTCAAAACAAGTTTGCATTATGTGATGGTTGTTATCATAAGAAATTAGAAAGTTCCTGAGTATGTGTTACTTAAACTCCCTTGTCTACATGTACAAGAACCAGATCCTCATGTTTCAGTCACTTCATTGCTCCAAAGTCTGTCCTGAAAATCACACATGTCACAAAAGAGGTTTCTGTCATAATATCATTACATACTGCTCTAAAAAACCAAGAACAATTTCTTTGATAGCAGGCTGACCAAGGTAGCTCTCCTGTAAATATGAAAAATCAGTTTCATTTACTATTTGTTACTATTTATTATATTTCTGAAAAATAAACTGCAAAAGCTGCAGTGTACCACGAATAAGAAAAATTGAAAAACAATCAAAGAAATAATATCAGTATTTACCTGGACTTTTGGCARTGCAGTTGTAGCAGCTATTTCAAATCCGATTGGTGGCTTATGGTGTGATCCATCCTATAATAGTTTCATTATAGACATCAATACAACAGTGAAATGATTCAAAGGATATTATATTCATTGACTTACCAGAATAACAACTTTTGGAAACCTGATTCTTACAGCACTAATAAATACAAAATGTATGAAACAAAGCATTAATAAAATTTCAATAAGCAACTCAACAATTATTTTAACATCAGATGTGTTAGTTGTGAAGTTTTCAAGTTTAACCAAGAGAAACAAAACGTCGCTGTAAAGAATGCTCTTTAGATTCAAAACAAACTGAAGTAAAATAAAAAGCAATATCGTGTACTAAGTACATACTTRACATATGCAATATCTGACTCAAACTTGTCACATAAAGGGTTTCCAGACAGGTCCAATGTCTGGACTTCASTCAAGCCTTTAAGTTTATCCAACTCGTCAACACTCTTGAACTGAAAGAAAGATGTAAAAATTATGAGTAAYAGCCTTCTCTACTGACACATGGATGCTTWGTCAGAACACTAGTCTTCAGTCATTCTACAAACCTGGTTATTGGAGAGTTTCAAATGCTTAATGTTTGGTGCAAAGTTAGCAATGTCCTTCAAGGAGTCTAGATTGTATAAACGGTTGTCGCATAGATATAGACCTTCCATCTGAAACATGATAAATGTCTTGGTAAATTACTGTTAATTAGAGCAGTAAACAATACAGATTACACATCTGTCAATTATTGTTGAAATATCACATAAAAATCAATACATCATTCAGTCTTAATGCAATTAAATTGACAAACCAAGAACACAGACAGAATGCTTGTKTATCTGTTAACTTAGYAAATTTKGAAATTTTGAAAAAATTAACAAMATGTCTTACATCTTGACAGTTTTCTCCAATAAGCTTCAAGATTCCATTAGCAATGTGAGGCTTGTAGATATGCCCTTGAACGTTATTTGCTTTTAAAACTGAAATGAAAAGAGCATGATAAGACTGGTAGTTTATAATACAAAAGATTTGGAGCTCAAATGTTTTAAACTRTTACCTTCATCATTAAAAAGGTCTGATAAATTCATGACTTTGGTTCCAACATCATATCGGTTACTTAGACATTCCTATAAAACAAACAATTTAATMTAACTTAAAAGTTGATATAAGAAAATATATACGTTCCATTGAATACAACAGTGGCTTAACAATCATCCCAAAGATGCTCATGATTTTGTGGTGTACCTTCAAAACTTGTTGTGTGTCAGCATTAAGAGTGAAGCTTGTACTTGCAGCTGATCCTCTAGTCCTTGGTGGATCACTTGGTCTCACACTGATGATGATCTAAACAAATAATTCAATAATTGTATTTAATGCTAATACAAATCATGCACTAAGCTTGTAACATAAAACTATATCTGAAGTTATTTCTTCTAGAAATGTTGAGAAAAATTCATCATTTTACTGTTGATAACATTTTTAACCACATATGATAATTTTCTCGCTTTCTGATTGGTAGAGAGCCGTGGTAAATAAAAGTACATACATGTACCACAGTGTTTCTACTTATTTTTAGTATTAACTAAAAATGTAACACTTCCATGTGTCCTATTGAATTACCTTTGATCCATTTTTTACTGTTATTTGATGACTAGTCCTTTTAAGGGCATCAGCGGCAGCCTTACTGTCCACAAAGAACAATGCACTGTCTCCCATGTAATGAAACTAAAACACAATCAAACTCTTTATAATACAAAATGTAACATTCTTTCTAAAAAGTATAATGTACTAAAGAATCTTCATTGTGTCCAACAAGCTGCTTGCTTTGTGACTTAACTAAAAACCCAATCATTTTAAAAGATCAACTTTGAAAATAACTCACTTCTACAGGTTGAAAAGCTTCTTCACAAGAGTTTTGTATTCGYTTAATAAGCCATTCTTTATCATGCATCTTTCCTTTAACAATCTTAACAGAACAAGGAAATTGATTACTTAAATAGTGGAATTTCTGTCTAAATATATGAGTATTAAATAACTTTAGAGATGAAGTTTCTTTAATCACCATAGTATTAGATTAACCAAGTTTTTGGACATATTTGCCTATCTGTCACCAAAGTACAATCAAATAAACTGACAACAAAGTTTGCCTTCACTTAMTACAACCATTGGGCAAGTTTAATGAATTTTATAACTGTTACTTACAGTTACTTTGTACCAATTAGATGATTTGTTCTGAAATTGGTTTCCAAGCCTTGAGTGGACATCTGACTTGGRTGTGTTATCATCTTGTCGAAAGCCTCGTCTACTTGGAGGTCTGTCTCGTCCATAAGGGTTACTAAGAAACAATGCAGATGTCACCTTCATTACTAAAGGATTTCAAAATATTAAACTGAGTGTAAGTTTTGAGTTGCATTTATGTTCCTAATGAAACAGAAATTGAAAAATCATGSATGAATCATGTTGCTGAGCAYCAACCAAAACCTGAATACAAAAAGATTTTACTTACAATCTAGAACTATAAGACTTTCCTCCTTCATTATCACCATCCATACTCTCATCATCATCATCCTCAAGATATGACCTTGGTCCTGCATTATGTGACTGACTTCTTCCTCTTCCACGAAATCCCCCTCGTCCTCCTCTACCCCTTCCTCCTCTTCCTCTACTTCTTCCACGGTTGTTTCTTCCTCCTCTGTAACCACCTCTGTAACCACCTCTGTAATCACTTCTTTGAGAACTCGAGTCATTATTGTCTACACATGCAGATACAAAAGAATGCCATCAATACAGCTTTGTAGCAAAATCAATTACCCAAAAGATCACCTTTGCTTTTTCGTTTTATATTCATCCAAAAAGGATTCACAGCGAGGTCGAAAA